AAAATTTTTTTGATGATCATAAAAATGTGCGCATTTATTATGTAACACAAACCCCGGCATAAAATTTCCAACACTGCCAAGACTGCTATGCGAATCGGTGTGACCGGTGACATTTTTCTTTGTGAATTATAGTGTAACCGGCGACCTTTTTTTCTTTATTAATGCGAATATAAAGTGGGGCAGCGACATTTTAAATTTTACAGTCGGAACTCGATAAAACGAATTCTCGTTATAACGAAGTTTTTCTAGTTTACCTATTCATTTATTGATAAAATCAACTCAATAAGACGAATATTCCTATTGTTCACTTAAATGTTTAAGATGGGGTTGAATATGGTTCAACATATATTAAATATAGCTCGATAAGACGAATAATACGGTTTATCGAAAGAAACTTCGCTTTATTATTATTCTGTAAAATTTTACAAATGACTTATGGTAGTACATATTGTTCTACGTTAAAATAAATAATACACTACATTAAAAGAAAAAAAGAGGAATATGTGTTCTAAAACAATTGAAACCTACATCTAATTGACAAATTACCATTCGATGATTCTATTATGGCAATTGATTATGTTACAATTGACAATGAAGTGGTACCCGAAGAAACAGTAACGGAAGACGAAGAAATCATAACTGCAGTTACATTGACATCTGATAATGATAATCAAGAAATAGAAACTCATGTAGTTACTTTAACTTAAGCATTAAAAAGCGCCGAAGTACTTATTAATTTCGTAACTTACCCGGAAAAATTTGAAACTTCAACAAAACAAATTTCTACTATTCGTTCTGTTAGGAATAGCATTTTATTTTATAAAAGTTCACTAGCACGTCAACGTAACATAAATGAATATGTAAATTTTGATGTATAGCTTTAAACCGAATTTTTTTTTAAAAATATATTAATTTCGTTTTATCGAAGATTATTCAATAGAACGAATATTGATAAACCGATGTTTTGAGCCCAAAACAAGCACGCCGGTTTAACGAGTTCCGACTGTACTTTTCGAATCATAATATTGACGGTGGCATTCAATAGAGTTTTCTGGTACTTCCTCTAAACACCTTTTTGGTAATGATGTTCATGCCGTGTATTCTCTACGTATGATTTTTGATTTAAAGGAAAATTCATAAACAAATAATAGAACAAGTTTTTCTCATATCATATGAAAAAGAAAACTGAAAAATAATGTCCATAAAGGGTAATTCTAGAACTCTTTCAATGTCATCTATTTCCTCCCATCATAAATCAAATTCATTGATAAATTCACCCTCAACAATCAGTAAAGATTCTTCTGACAAAAATAAATTATTTAACAAAGTCAATAACAAAAAAATTAGGTCAATAACTAGTGAATCAATTGAACAATCAATAAAAACAGATAATAATTGCAACATCGCTAAATCATTAAATAATAAAAATACGAACAAAAATTTAATTGATTCTGTTTTTTCTGATGAATTTATTGATGATAAAGACTTTCAAATTAACAATTCACCAATTTCATTTGACAATTATGATTGTGATGGTAATGGCAGAGATATAGATGACGCGGATGATTAGACCAGGAACCTTAGAATTAAGCCATCAGATGAATTTTGTGCTTTAATTACAAAAGTATACTTTAATAATATTATGTTAAATAAATAAATAAATACTTTTTAATTTTTGGCTAACATCATAACTATGCATGCTCTATAAACTTGTTTTTTAAAAAAAAATTTTTTTTTTGTTTATTTTTTTAATTTTGGTTAGTATTATTGTTACCGATCACCTGCTAACTCGAAAGAGTATAAAATACATCTGATTTATTAATTAGAAATGTGTTTGTTTATTGTATAAAGGAATTTGGCGGAAACCTACTTTGTACAAAGATGGGTTTTAAAAATTTTAAAATCAACAATTAATTATTGTTACCAATCACTTGCTAACTCGAAAGAGTATACAATATATCTGATTTATTAAACAATTAGAAATGTGTTTCTTTTTTCCAAAATTTTTGCACATCTTTTAAATTTGTAATACAAAGGAATTTGGCGAAGACCTACTTTGTACAAAGATGGGTTTTAAAAAATTTTAAAATCAACAATTAATTATTGTTACCGATCGAAAGAGTATACAATATATCTGATTTATCAAACAATTAGAAATGTGTTTACTTTTTTCCAAAATTTTTGCGCATC